GTCAATATGAAAAATCAACATATATTAGTGTTGTCTCACTCCTATTTGTACCCTAACAGTAATGTGAATATTCACATCTCTAATGATATGAATGTTCACGTTACTGTGTTTGTCACCTAAATAGTACTTTTTTGCTTTTGCTTATATGATTATCGTTGAATGTGAACATCTACACTGATTAAGGATGTGTTGATGTCAATCTGCATGGCTACCCTACTAATTCTATTGAAATCAAATTTAATGTTGGTGATCAAATATGATGTGAATATGGTGTAAATATTGATATTGATGTAAATATTTACTTCAATGTCAATATTCACATTATCAATATAATGTAGATATTCAACTTCTAACATCAATGGAATATGATGTAAATATTTACAGAGTTGTTGGTATTATTATGTGTTAATGGTTATAAAGCAATTAGAGCTCTTAATCTTGGATGATTGTCAACTCTCTTTTGGTTCAATGTGTATCTCATTATAGATAATGTCAATATTTACATCAGACTGTTATATATTGGTAATGACTTGTTTGTCTTAAATTGTCACGTGTAATACACTCTTTTGTAATACACTCACTATCTCCTCCCTTGTGTCAATGTCAGATTTGTTAATGTTGTTGGTTGTTGATGGTGATGAAATAATTACATTCTGAACATAATGCCAATATTCACATTCTAACATCAATGTCAATATTCACCTTCTGTTATCAATGGAATATGATGTAGATATTAACAAAGTTGTTAGTATTGTTGCTTGTTGATGAAAAGCCCATAATCTTGAATGGTTGTCAATCCTTTTTTGGTTTAATCTGAATTTTATTGTACACAATGTCAATATTTACATCAAATTGTTAGATATTGATAATGACTACAAACCAATGGTAAGCCTTAAATCAATTTGTACACATCTCCCACATCCATTATACACACCTAAATTTCAAATTCTATTAATAACAACTTTGCATTTTCAGGGTGAATTGCGGGCCCGCAGTGTGTTACATCATCAGGGTGCATGTATACCGTGAGGAACTTGTTGACAGCCTTAATCGCTTTGAATGGTGTCAAATAAGAGACTCATTGTACATATTTTTCTGAATCACACAAAGACAGTACAATATGAAAACCTATAGGTGGGGGGTGTCCACCTGTAATTGTTATTCATAATTGTTATCCACATTTAAGATATTTTAGTATCAATAGTTTTGACATATTGGAGCAGACTAGCTTAAGTGTAAATCAATTCTGTATCAATGCTTGTACTCCAATTTCATTCAATATATATATATATATATATATATGTATTTTAAGGCTTATTTCGTGTTGATCATTCACATTGATGTGAATATTACTTAAAATATTATTGTAACACAATGTAACCGGTGTGAATATCATATTTCTTAACACATAAGTGAATATTCGCAGCAAATAATTTGATGATGTTAATAGTTACAGATGATATGAATATTCACATCATATGCTTTTATATTGTAAATGGTAACAGGTATGTCAACATTCACACCGCGCCTATGCATACATCATAATATACATAACAACATCCCGTTTTGTAATCAGAAAACGCTCACAATGACAATTCGTAATACAAATCTGAATATTCACATCAAATGATTTGATAATGTGAATCGTTACAATGATATAAATATTCATGTTAACTACTTTGATGTTGTCAGTGGTAACAAGAATGTAAATATTCACATCATATATTTTCATGTTGTAAATGGTAACAGACATGTCAATATTCACACCACGCCCATGCATGCATCATAATATACACAACAACATCCCATTTTGCTAGCAAAAAACACTCACAATGACAATTCATAATACAAATCTGAATATTCACATAAATGATTTGGTAATATGTTGGTAATGTGAATGGTTACAGTGATATAAATATTCATGTTAACTACTTTGATACTGTCAATGGTAACAAGAATGTAAATATTCACATCACACACATGCATGCCTTACAATATACATGACCAGGAAAAATCCATATCCTCATATAACCAACCAAAATTTAATTTAGATAATAATGTTGAAAGCAAGAAATAGATCATACAATCATTCATATACATTCACATTTTCAATGCGATGTGAATATTCACCACATTCAAAAAAACAGAGTCATAATTCAACCACATAACCAGCCAAAATCCATAACCTCATACAATAAAAAAAAAAACTTGCATGTCCATCAATTCTAGAAATTAAATTGGAAGTAAAAAACAGAGCATACAACACTTCATATAAATCCAATCACAAATGACATGCATCCATTACATACTAACCTTAAGACAATATAATCAAACAGAGCACAGTATTCGTCTTCTCCAAATTCAAAAATCTCAATCTCTCAAAAAATAAAAAAAACAATCACACAAATCCTCCTTTGTATCTTCATAATTTTTGTCTCCATCTTCATCATTATCACTATTATTAACACCTCTTACAATTTCACCATTACAGTAATCCAAATCAAACCAAACACTCCTTATCTCTTTATAAAGAAAGCTACATTACTGTATCAGAAACCTCATTCTTCACAATTCTAACACTCATTTCTTAAGCTTCCAAACAATATGAAATGTGAACATTCACATTGATTGACAGAAAAACCAAAAATAATGGCAGCAATAGAATTATAAATCCAAAAAAAAAAAAAAAACTCAATCTCTCTGAAAACAAAAAATTATCACCCACATCTTCAGTTTCATCATATCACTATCATTAACAACCCGTGTAATTTCACCATTCCACCAATCCAAATCAAATTAAACCCACCTTCGAGGAACAAGTAATCAAATCCATCTCATCTTTCTTTTTTATTCAATCCAGTTGAATGTGGGTTTTAGTCAATCTACTGAACAAGTTTGTAAGCCATTACCCTTGTTTCTTTGATTCAAATCCTTTTCTCTTCCTTTGATTTCTGGCTGAAATCATAACTATGGCAAAAAAAAAAAAAAAAAAAAAAAAAAAAAAACACAGAGCATAAACTCTGAATCGTCATCTTCTCTTCTACAGGAATGAAACCGTATCGCAATGAAACGCTACCGCGAACTATGTGCCGTCGTCCTTTCTCTTATAAGAACGAAATCCTACCACAACAAAAACAAAGGAAAACATGTATATTATTTTGTATATAATATATATCAACAAATAGACATAAGGGTATAATAGTCCAACAAATAATATAAATTAGGAAAAAAGGACCTCATGGAATAAAAGTATAAATACATGGGACTAATTAGGTTATAATTTTCTTTGGTGGACTTATTGGGTTAAAACACCTCTAAATGGGATTTATCAATAAAAAACCCTAAGAAATATTATTATTTTGATCTCTTAAATTATAAAAATATACAAATAAATTTTTGAGAAGTATTAGTTTACCTCTTAATTATAAAAGCTTAAAAATGAACATCCACAACTATTGACATATTTCACGTTGATCCTTTTTGTTAGGGGTCAATTTGAATATTTTTATAATTTATAAATTTAATTTGTACGTTTTTATAATTTAAAGAATAAAATAATACTTCTCAAGTATTTAGGCTCTGTTTGTTTAGAAAGAAACGTATGATAGAGTATGAAAACAGTAAAAAACGAAGTGAAACAAAGGAAAATTTATTTTCTTACATGCATTTGAATAGATGAAAAATTCTATAAGAAAATGATGGGAAAAAAAATATGTAATCACTACATAATATGTAATTGTAGAGAAAAACATGAGTAAAAAAGAAAGATTTGCGTGAAAAAATAAATTTCCCTTTATATTTTACAAGAAATTATTAACTTAACCATCAAACTAATTTGAGTTGTACAAAAAAAATTTAGATTCCTTACTTTCGAAGACTGTCTACCTACACAAATACATAAAAAAAATTATCTTTTTTTTTTTCTTTTTCTTTTACTTTCCTATATTATCTATTTAATCAAACTCAATCTCAAGAATTTTGGTGTAAATAACCAAGATATGATATACATAGGACATTGATGTGCACACATACATATGGCACATGATTGAAGGGAATCTCATCTCAATCAAAACTATTGTGTCTATTGAAGATCATCTTCTTATGGCTTTGATTGATTGCCGTCTTCCCCCCATGTGCGCTTGCTACCTCATGTGCCCACTACGACTACTATTACTACTAATCCTCCACCTCTCTCCGTCTGGTGGGGCCATTGTTGTCCCATTTTCCTCTTTTTTATTACATTTCAACATGTTAGTTACTCTATTTTTAAAATAAAAAAAATTAAAAATCAAAAAAATGTTACTATTACTTGGAACCCTCACAAACTAATTTTAAATTTTGTTAAAATTTTTTGACACTCCACTTAATATCAAAATTAATCCTAACCCTACATACCACCCACCACCACCCCAGTCCTTCTTCCCTCACCCCTTATTTCAGGGAGACTGTCATTGTCATAGGGATAAATCAGCAAATGCAGTTCTAATATGGTTATTGTAATTGCAAGACAGTGAGTGGCTTTTGTTGGTGAGCTTTGACTACAAACCCTGATATATAGAGTCTGATCTTGGACCAAGTAAATTTGAATGCTGACTATCAGAGAACTATGTTAGAATCAGGATGTAAGAATTGAATGTGTGTTTTCTGATTGCAGTTAAGAACTGTTGGGGGAAACAGTGGAACCGAGCATCAGCTACGTGTCGTTAAATGCTAATCACTCGGTTGCACCCATCAGAGCCCCTAACACGACCTGAACCGGAAACTTTACCAACTGACAAATAAATCTTCCTAAACTATAAGCTTGTCTGTCTGCAATTTCAGGAGGCTATTGGTTCATTTGTAAAGCCAACTCACAGTTACAGCTAAGGTTGCCTGGTAAATCAAGAACTTTCATGGTGCTCTTTTACTAGTATAGCAGGGCAATTCATATTCAACTATGCATTTGCCCCCACCCACAAATACTTCAAAATCAAAAACCACTCCGGAAAATTGGACCTTTATATTTGAATCTTAGGAACTAATATGGCATACCATGAGATGAGCATTTCAACAAGACTTCTCCAAGTACTTGAAATTGAATGCAAAACAATCTGGCTAAAAAAAAGGCAGTCTTAGTGCACAAGGTTCTTGTCACTGTGGGATCTGGGGAGGGTCAAACTAAAATTTCTGGTACGGATAGATTTTTTAAAAAAAAGAAGCAAAGGCAAGGCACAGAATTTGAAGACTAAATTTGATACCAAATGCAACAGGCTTTAGGTTCTGTAACGAGACTGCCTCTGTTTTTTAAACACCCATTTGGGGTGAGTTATACCAGCGTTTTGCTTAAACCAATGATAGTATCATCTGGGAAATGAATTGTCATTGCAACAACTCATCCAAAGTCCAAAAACCATTCTAAATAACCCATAAAACTTTAAGTAAATCAAAGAGAAACAGTCCTCAAGACCAGAGGTGTGCTCAACGTAAAACATGAAATCCGATGTTTCTTTCTTGTGTTTGCACTCTGCAATAAGAATGGCTCCTTGCAAGCAGGACGTTTCCCTTGCCATTTACATGACCCGAGATGCCCTGTGTGCACAATATCCTTAGATCAGATTATGATATTGGCAAACAAACACGCCCAAATATGCATCGGAAAGATGAAAGAATGAGGAAAGGAATGTGATTCAGTGATGTTACTAATAATAACACGCACATGTTTGTTTTGAGATCTAAAACTGCAGAAAGTTGTGAAGACTAATCCCTGGTTTATATCAAAGCAACGATTTATTAATTTTGGGGATAAGTAATAAAATGATAGCATGTTACTCAAGAGTCAGCACATAGCAACAACAATATCCTGATAAAGAGCAATAAATGCATTTCCTTGCAATCACAATAAAAAATAAAAGAAAGTAAGAAGGGATTTTTTTCTAAATAACAACAATAAGAAAAAGAAAGCACAATCAAAGAGCAACAAATGAAGAAGAAATAAAATACCAATTAAGTTCGAGAAGCATTCTTTTCCTTCTTTTTGTTCCTTTTACCCTTATTCTTCTTTTTGACAACCTTTGCAACTTCCAGTCGACTTCTAGGTGTGTAGTCAAGAAGGTTCATTTATTCCTTCACCTTCCTCACCGGCTTAAAAACCTCAGTGATTGAGGGGTCCAACACATCACTTGAACATTGAAGAACGACACCCATAGCTGTTGCTTCATCCCAGAGCTCTCTGCCCTTTTCAAACGCACCTCCTCTACAAAGCTTTGGTATAAGCAAATCATAAACAGGCCCATATCCACCTAACGAGCTTTTCTTCATTTGCTCAAAGAGCTCAAGAGCATAATTCACCCTCTCCACTCCACAGAGAACACCAATTAAGTCATAATAAAACTTTCGTTCCGGCACCAACCCATCTTCTATCATCTTATCAACTATTTGCTTACCTTTGCCAAATCTCCCTGTCAAAAACAAAACTCTAGCAACAAGATAGTAGCTAACCCAATCAGGAGAACAACCTGTACTTCTCATCGTGTCGAGAATTTGAACAGATTCTTTGACTCTTCGTGTCTTACCCAAACAAGATAGCAATATATTGTAACTGATTGAGGTAGGGGTAATCCGATAGGACCTCATTTCCATCATCACGTTCAAAGCTTCAGGAACAAGACCTGATGGATTTGATTTCAAATTTCGCTCACAAAGGCACCTGAGGAATGTATTATAACAAAAAAGGTCCGGCATAACACCAAGAGACTTCATTTCCTTGATAATTCTTCGTGCTTCCTTTACGTTCTCCTGTTCAGACCACCCATGAAGCAGATTCCTATAAATGCAAGGCTCTACACCTGAAATCTTATCCTTATGCTGCAAAACAACCCCTTCGGCCCTCTTAGCATGCCCTTTGGCACAAAGAGCACTGACAATAGCTGTGACTGTAACTCTATCTTGTGGGCACTTGAACTTTTCCAAGTTCTTGAAGATCCCCAAAGCCTCCTCTTCCCTCCCCAATTTAACCAATGCCTCGGCTACAAGACTAAAAGTCCAGGTTTCCATTTCCCGACCTTCCTTACTAAGATCCGATATCAATATATCCATCGCCCTGAAGTCCTTCTTCTCAGCAAACACCCGAATCGCATGATTATAATCCTCATCTTCCAATTTATCATCCAAATTATTGCCTGACCACAAGAAGAACCTAAGCAATCTCCTAGTGGGTGCTTCGTCTTTACAAGAATCAAGGACTTGGGTAACAAGCGATGATGTGAAAGGAATACTAAAATTACTAAGACTGGTTTCGAGCTCATCTAAGCCGCCAATGCAGCTAGAAACAACACTACACAGCTCTTGCAAGTCTGAACACAACGGTGTACGTGGCATTGTGCAGTAGAGAGATGGAAAATGTTGTTTTGGGCCTTTTGGTTTCTGGGTAATGATAGTTTGCAGCGACAATCTTTGCCATTTTTGTTTCTGCAAGAAAAACATCTCTTCCAAAGCAAATCAGTGAAAGGGTCGTTCACTTCAAGGTTATCAATCATATATAGGCAAGTTCACATGAAATTGCAAATGTAATGGATCACCATATTCTTTAAGGCAATCTATCAAACAGATGGTCTGAACCCTGATAGAGAAAACTTGAATTCGTCTCTCTGATGCAATGGAAGACCAAAGCCTACACCATTGGTGATGATGTAGAAATTGGTTGAGGCAATATGTCGAACAGATGGAGGGCAAAAACACTGAGATTTGTAAAAAGTCATAAATCACCGATTTGAGACTGATTAAGACAAAACCCAGTTAACAAAACTCTGATTGTCCGAGCTCGTTGTTGATTAACTGGACGAATCGTAGTCTCAGCTTTATATCCAATTCAATTTTCAGGCCTTCGCGAGCCTCCCCATGCGGTTCATGTGTTGCAACTTGCAACCGAAACTGTTATTTCCTCCGATCGATTATTATAGGGCAAATTACAAACATGGTGATTTGGTGAAAACATAGATTTTTGGTTTGAGAAATTACATCTCGTCTCTAAAGTTTATATTTTTATAATAAATTATCCCTTGAAGTTTTTATTTTCATAGAGGTTCTTTCCTAATTTTTCCTGATTTGTTATGAAAATTTGACCCCCAGAAAACAATTTATAATTTCTCAAACCTCATTGAAAAATCTGTATTTTTACCAAATCGCGAGGAGTGTTTGTTATTTGCCCATTATTTATACGGTAACTTAACAACCATATTTTTACCATTTTATAGAAAAGAAACCAAACCAAACCAAACCAAATCAAACCAATCTTTTAAACTTTTGGAATTAAGCCAAAATTATTACACTTGGGTTTTCAAAATTTTAGACTCCGTTTGGTAAGTCTCTCAAAATATAATTTTATCCATTGATTTGAATGTGTTGTTTGTTTGGAGCTTTCAAATCATAATTCTACACCCATTTCTTAAAACTCAATTCAAAATATAATCATTACTTTTCAAAACTTATAACCAAACACATAATTCAAAACTCTTTTCAAAATTCAATTCAAATCAATATTTTAATTTTTTAAATATTTTAAATATTTAAATATTTTAAAAATATTTTAATTTTGTGAGAATTTTAAATATTTTAATATTTAAATATGTTACAATTTTTTTAATTTTTTGAATATTTTTAAATATTTTAATTTCAAAATATTACAATTTTAATTTTTTAAATTTTAAAATATTTTATAAAAATAAATTCAAACTCTATTTTATAATTTTTTTGTTATGTATTTAGTTACGATTTATTTTTAAATATTTTAATTTTTTGTTATGTATTTGTTACGTTACGATTTGAGTGTAGAGTTGTGAAAATAATATGGAGTTTCGAGTTATATGTTTGGTTATGAGTTTTAAAAATAATTTTTTAATTGAGTTTTGTTTTATGTGTTTGGTTACGATTTAAGTGTAGAAGTTATTTTAAATTTAAAATATTAACATTTTAAATTATTTAAATTTTTACAATTTAAATTTTTTGAATATTTATTTTAATTTTTTGCTTATTAAATTTTTTAGATTATTTAAATTATTTAAATATTTATGAGTTAAATTTTTTGAATATTTATTTTGAAAAAATATTATTTCCTTTGTAGTATTTTCAATTAAAAAATTGAATAATGTTATTTTCTGTTAATAATAATTTTTTTAATTGAATTTTAAAAAGAGTTTGGTTAAGAGTATTGATTAGAATTTTCAATAGTGTGAAAGTAGTGTGTTTTGTTATGAGTTATAATAATTTGAATTAAGTTTTGAAAACTCTTTCCAAAACTCATAACTAAACAAATTTTCTTACTTCACATGTTAAATCAAACTTTCAAAACTCAATTCCACACTCAATTCAACATTCTATTAAAAAATCATAACCAAACAAATTTTCTATACTCAAATCATAATTTCACAACTCACAAACTCAAAATACAACTTATACTCTCAAATTATATTTACAAAACTCTACCAAACGCAACCTTAGTTGTTTCACTTTGGTAATGTTTGTCATTTGTTATGCTTTACACCTCATTTGGATGGAGGGATTTGAAAAACAAAAATAATAAATAAAAAATAAAAAATAAATAAAAATAAAAATAAAAATTTCTCTTAACTTTAATAACTTGTTTAGATTACTAAATAAGAAAAAAGTGAGGAGAAATATTTCCCACATGACTCAATTTTTAAATCTCTCTAAAATTAGAGAGATTAGGAAAGTAAATAAATAAAAAGATTATTAATTTTGTCTGTTATCAAAATTGTCAACCTACCTACAAATATATATATATATATATATAGGGTTATTTTGGTGAAATAGTCTATAAGAGTTTCTTTCTTTCTTATTTATTTATTTATTTTTATATAATTTGTCCAAACAAGATTTGAAGGAAATTACCATATTATCTTTTCTTTTCTTTTTTGAGAGGGGAAAGTCCAATGAACAGAATGGGCCGAGCTATATATGTGCTCGATGGAGAAGTGTGGGCCGAGCTATATATGCAATTGAGGGAAATTTACACTGAATAAAGGACCGGACTACATGTGGAATGGGCCGACCTAAGGATAGGCCGAGCTAATGACACCGTCCTCTCTATAGACCGAGCAATATTTGGCCGAGCTGTGGTTGATCGGTTGGACACCTCGGAGCTGAGCCGATTGATGGAAGTTGGTAAACGGACTTGTGCCGGGTTATGGGTAGCACGACAGAAGTTGTTACATGGCCTAATTGGAGTGTGAGAAGGAAAACCAGCCAGTAGTTGCGTTTCAATACTGTTTGGCAGCATTGACGCGTACACGTGTAAAGAATAGAGAGGACAGTACAACCATGCGTCCAGAAAAGGACGAGCAGAGTGGTGCGCGTAGAAGCTATTTAAATTGTGTGGCTCCGCCATACAACAGGTCTGAAAAAATCTTGTGATCAAAGCTCACCTATCACTTTGTCTTCTCTCTCTCTCTTTTTCTTTTCTTCTTTAAGGGTGCTAACTTGACCGTCGGAGGGGTTTTTCGGCAGCACACTTGCCAAGTAGCTCACCGTCGTTGTATTCTCAGGTTATTCGGAACGAAGCGAAACTTGGACACGAGGAGTACGGACAGCGACGAATATTTGCTCCTCGTACAATTGGTGCCGTCTGTGGGAATCCGACAGACAAAACCTTGTCCTCTAAGCTTTTCCAGTCATCTTTATGGCGAACAATGACGACGTTACGCTATCTACCATCGATGACATCACTCCAGAGTCCGTTTGGCACAGAGATGGCCTGTCTGCCTGCCATGCTGGTTTGGAGACCTTTGCGCGACGACTTCCCAAAAATGTGCGAGACAAGCACGTAAGGAGTTCTAGGTGCTCTGTCATTCCAAAAGAGCGTCGCTGACGGCGAGATTCACACACTTAGCACTTGGAAGACAAGTTGAGAAACCAAGATACCATCATCAAGAAAATGGCGATGGAGATGGAGGCCGTGAGATGCCAGATGAAGGGAAAGGGGGTCGCTAGAACGAGAAACCACAGTAAGCACGCCCATTCCTGTCATTCCGACAGTCAGAATAGACGCTGCACCCCTTTACTCTCCATTACAAAAAGCTTCAGAGTTGGAGACTACATTGTGCCGACGACGACATCTCGCACGCAAGACAACAGTTACCACTCCTGACGTCCGACGACAGTGTCGAGATATTCTCGCTTCGATCGTTCGAAAGACCCGAGGGATGTGTTGGAGGAGTGCCCTCGCCGGTGAGAAGCGCAGAAGGTGCCTGCATTGCAGCAACTAGTCCCTAGAGGGCGAGCCAGTGAAGAGGTCGCTATGCCACCACCACGCTTGGCGACACCCACGCCACCAGACAGAGAGTTGGCAAGGCTGAGTGCCACCCCTTTTTTCGTAGAGATCGAGAACACACCGCTTCTCCTCGGGTTCCATCAGCCAAAGTTCACGCTCTATGACTGGAAAACTGATCCATACATGCATGTAAGCCATTTCCAGTAAGTTATGGCGGGGCATAGGCGTAATGATGCACTCATGTGCCTTATTTTCCTATCGAATTTGGATGAATTGGGCCTGAAATGGTTCGAGAGGCTGCTAGAGGAGAGTATCAAGAGATGTCAGTAGTTGGCGGAGGCGTTCGTGACTCGATTCAAAGCCAACACCAAAACCCCTAAAGAAAATCGATTACCTTCTGGGAATTAAGATGAAATCAAGCGACTCACTGAAAGAGTATAATGCCAAGTATTGGGAGACATTCACTGAGGTTCTTGATTACCCGACGAACCTAGGAATCACCCAGTATAAGTGCAGTCTTCCAATCGGACATAGACTGAGAGACTCGCTCACAATGAATCAACCGTTGGCCATGGAACTGCTCATGCAACGTATTAATGAGCACATTCGAGTTGAAGATGATGCAGCCGCAGCTACTGTGGAGGCTGTAGACACCCAATTTTTTACCGCCCTTAAGACTTCGGCGTTATTGATGGTTTACTTAGTGATGGGAGATGTGTCGAGCAAAAGTTCGATTTCTTTGGCAAGGAGAATGTCAAATCCAAACCTCACACCCCATTTTGGACCAAAGCTATTTTGAATGGTTTTTAGACCTTAAAACCCTCTCTTTCAAAATATTTTTGAAAAGAAGTTTTTACGATGTTCCGAGGCTTACATTTTGTCAAACGTTGCGCTTTTCAGTATACCGAGTGAGGACAAAGTGGAAATGAATAAAAGAGAGATGAAATCTTTGAAAAATCTTTCAAAACACCTTGCTTAGGGGGTTTGGAGTTGAAAAAAAGAAGATGAGAGGGAAGAAACCCAGTTGGGGAAGGAGTTGGGCATGAATCGTTAAGAGAGAGTCGAATAACCCTCGCTAAATCAGGCCTATCATTTTGAATACTTGGATTTCAGATATGAGGCCACCACCGTTGGAAATCTTACTTCCAGGGGTTCATTTTTCACTTAAGAATATCCTAAAGCTGAGTCCGTATGGAGAAGATATGATTGGTTGAAGTTGGGCATCATTTCGGTTGGACTGAAACTGAGCAACCTTCACTAAAAGAGGTATATCTCTTATCACACATGGAATTTTGAGGTGATGCTTCCAAATTTGGAAAGAAGACTTCCGGGGTTACAGTTTAGGCTCAAGAATGACCTGAAAAGGAGTCCAGATGAAGGTGTTAGGCTTTCTTCAAGTCAGGGACCATGATTGATTTTTGCCATCGGCCTCTATGGAAGTGCATCGGCCACAGTTGGAGCTCAGTAGCTATAGGCCGGCCAAAAGTGAACCTTATCGGCCACAAATGTTGGCTGATCGGCCAAAAATGTCCAGAAAGCCTAGAATTGGCATATATTTCTCTTCCAGCTGTTTCCAGCTTGTGCCACCTGTCCTAGCTCAGATATTTTCGACCAAGCTTGATATTTTGCTATATAATGAAGCCTTATATCTCATTTTTCAAGGGTTAGAAGAGGAGAACAAAACAGAGAACATTTTTGGTAAAAGGTTTGGGAGCTTCTCACACTAGAACCTCTCT